ATTAAAATTTAATAGATTACTGCCCAACTTACCATCACGACAAAAAGCCAAATTCCAATCAAGAATCAACAACATAAAAGTACCTTCATAATTTTGAAGACAACTAAATGCAAACCCAGTAAATTTTTTCATGTTGAATAGAAAAAATTCAAAATACACAAAGAAACACAACACATCTCTCATACAAGTTGTCACCACACCTGAGAAGCATATTTTCTCCAGGGAATGACAAGAATGAAGCAATTTCACTTTTTCATTATCTCATTTTGCCTTTAGGATCATTCCTTTTTCCAGGCCACTCTTGCACCAGACAAACATGTGACCTTGCTAGGAACAAAGGGACATGCAAGGCCAGGGGAGAAAAACTCTTTTGCCTGCACTAAATGAAAATGTATAACAAAGGCTGAGCCCAGGGAATAACATATGTTGCAAATAATAGTGAGTACCCACTTCCTGGGAGATTTACACCACAGAGTTCACACGTCAGCAACTGTTTGCCTATAATATAAATTCAAATTGACAAGAGTGAGGTACTATGGAACAGTATTTATCTCGAGATTGTCAGGAGAAGTCATTTCATTTCTTATGATTCATTTCATTTATACGTTAGTGTATTAACTGGATACATTATTGATCTTTGCTCCATCCAATTTCAGCTTCTAAAGCATGGACAAAGTGATGTGAAAAATATCACTCCTGGTTGTTTTGTTTTTTTTTTCTGAAGCACGGGATTGTCTGATGCATGTCTGAGGAAAACATCTCACTGTACTAGATATTCTATCAAAGGAACACATAGTGGAACAAGCAACTGCTATTCAGAAATACCTTACTGCTAAAGTCAGCTTTTCTAGAGTTTTTAAATGAGAATCTAGAAAACTGTGTTTTTCTAGATAGTGTGCTCTCCTCTTTGCTTGATTGGATAAAAAGGCAAAGAAGTAAGCAATGATGACAGTCCTGATGACAGTACACTTAAAAAAAAAAAAAAAGGGAAAAAAAAGAAAGAAAAAGAAAGAAAAAAAGGGGGGGAAAGGTCGCAATCAGAGTGAGACTGTTACAACTCTGGGTGAAACTACCCTTCAAGCAGAGAGCCACTTCAAACATACAAACCACAGCTGTCACTCTGCAGAACCACAGGTCTTCCACTCTAAGACAGTATCATTTGACAGCTGCTACAAATATTATGAATATCATGGATGTCCTGTTACTTTCATCTGACAGTCTCTGAATTATAATGTAGAGCCAGCTATTACAGAAAAAAAATATTAAAATAAAAAAAGAAAGTATGGGGGATGTAACAAATGAACAGCAGAAAGCACAGCATCAGGATGTCCTCCTGATGGTCAACAGGCATGAAAAGCATACAGATGAGACTAGGCTGCTGTTTAATTTTATTTGGATAAGCAGCAGGATTTGCAATCGTGTCAGAATCGATCTTCACTGTTCCCTAAGCCCTCCCCCCCTTTTTGGAATGCATCAAGTTTTAAAACTCTGGGCAGAGATACTGTAAACAGGTTTTACTATGCAGTTGCCTCAAAAGACAGCGAGAGGAGCAAATGGTAGCATTCCACTTGTTTCATCTGATTAGGGTCCAGCAAGATCAGGGTCCCATTGAAAAAACATTACATAAGGGAAGAACAGAAGTGTTACTTTCCCAAGAGCTTACAATGAAGAGAGACAAAACGTCAGGAAATCACTCAAGTAATCCATAAGCCAAAGGAATACTAACACGACATCTCTTCCACTAATTCTTTCCAGAGCCAACACTTTCCTAGCAGTTTTGGCTTCCCACAGGAAAATGAGGTACCTCTGATCTCTGCAGTAACTGTGTCAGTGGATGTTCATATCCTAGATTCAAACTGTTCTGCACTGCTGAGATCTTCCTGATCTCGGTGGCTGCTGCACACCAGTGATGGCTTGCTGCATACAGGGGGTGTTCTGCAAACACAAAGGTACTGCCAAAGTCAGCGTTTTTCCTGGGGAAAGCAGACTTTGGTGGAAACAATTTGCTTCTGATGTTTAAAATGGCTGATCTCACACTTCTCCATTTTCCGGTCTTAATGCGATTTTCTCATGAGCAGCCATTCCAATTCGTCACGTTAAAATTCCCACCTTCACACAGTAAGGCTATTTTGACAGCTCCACTTTCCGTTTCTCCTGTCCCCAACCAGCAAGAAGCATTACTGGCCAAAACTTAACCCACTCACTGAAAAGCAGGTAGCCAAGCTGTTTCAGGTAGGACTCTTTAATTTCGAGTTTCAGAAGCTGCCTGCAGTGAAGCAATTACGGTCAAACACAACAAGGTGATACGATTTTTACCTGGAATTCCCTATTCACCCCGAGCTCGCTGCCCGGACGCGCGGTGCGTACGCGCCATCCTGCGGCCACCGAGCTCCTCTGCGAGTCCGGCTTTGCCAAGGCAGCCGAGGATCGCCTGGATCACCACCGCCGATCTTTTAACCCTTCGAGGGCAGCTCTGCTCCCCACTAGGCCCTCTGCAGACAGTACCGTATTTTTCATACACTCGCGTTTAATAGACGTGAAATGATCCCTTCGAATGGGGCACTCAAATCTTACAGAATAAACATGCTATAAAACTAAAAAAAATTATAGTATCCCAGGCTTTAGCACAGCTTCTTAGAGAGATTTACACTTTAGACTGGAGTTGATACAGTTGCAAAAACAGCAACTCGGCTTAATTTTGGCGTTTACTGTCTCAATTCTTTGTCCAACTATTGGTCCTCTTTAAAAAAAAAAATAAATAAGAATTACTGTTTAGGTATTTCTGAATTCCTTAGAGGAGAAGGGAACAGTGCAGTAACAATTTTTATCCAATCTCCCTATTCTTCTTAAATCAAATTGCTTTAGGCTTTCTTGTTCTCTTTGTTGGGGTTTTTTTAACACATAACTGGACATAGCTTAGCCCCAGTGTGTAGAGATTTTAGAAAGAGATAGTATAGTTTCACATGACAGGAGACATTTCTCATTAAGAACAACCATATGTAGGCCTTACTGATGCTTCATGAATTATGCAATGCTCACAGCAAATCATCATTGTTCTAAGTGTGCATGTAATGAACAAAGACAGCAAAGATATAACTTCTTACATCGTAGGAAAACAGAGCACTCAACTTGTGGTTGCTAAGGAGTATAAACAGTGATGCAGATACCTGCCACATGAATCCAGCTGGAATATGCATCCAAACAATTGCATACTATTTTCTTTTTTCAATAGGATGACACCATAATTGGCTAAGGGACCAGAAAAAGCCCACAAAAATAAATAGAAAAACCTTCTTTTGACTTCTCCGGGCATTGATCGCTGCCACAAACTGTAACACTGACAACCTGGAAGTGAAAAAACAATTACACAAAAAGCAGCTCAGATTCAATCAGTCTTTCACAGCCAGAACCCCACAGAAGATCAGTATCTCTCCACTTGTTATTTCACATTTATATACCCATCTTTTATTTTTGTCTGTACATCGCACTATTAGAAGACAATTACCTAAATGAGAAATTCTTCAGGTTATTAAAGCTAATAAAATTTGATTTTCAGTGTAAGAGCATTCACATGCCAACTAAGCAAACAAGCCTTCCTCATTACACCACAAACAGAGTAGGAACTCCATTTCTATTTCAATCTACTCCATCTAATTATGGAGCTTTTCAGCAGATCCAAACACTGCATAAAGTCATCCAAGTTAAAGAAGAAAAAAGGTATCTTGTTAAGGCACCTCATCTTGTTTTCTCATATCTCAGCTTTGCCTTCAGTGAATTTTGGAATGTGCCAGTTAAAAAGTGCTTTGAGCACTGGCCGCCTTAAAGCCTGATGATTTAAAACCTAGAAATGCTCCTGCCTCCAAGCTATCTACAAAGACTTCAAATCACGCCTGATTTTGGCATATCCTTGCACCGGTTTTCAGGCTACTTTATAGCTAGATCTCTCTCTTCCAGTTTGCACTCAGGAGCAAGGGCCATGGCAGCCCCAAAATGCTGAAGTCAAAAGCCATGACTAGAAAATAACATTGTGCCTCTTGCATCTTTCTAAGTAGCAGCAGCTACAGCCACAGAACGTGACACTCAGCAAGAACGGGACATATTACACCATATCCTGCTTTTCTTTGCACTGATCCTACTCATCTAGGGGCAAAAAAAAATTACTTTCAGATGACCCACTTCAAATTTTAATTTTCATACTGTTTCCTTTTTTGAGCAGAACCTTTAGTGGAAGCATGATAAAGTGGATTAGAGGGTAAGTGTGACCAGAAGAATGAGGGAGGTGATTTTACCCCTCTGCTCCACTCTCGTGAGACCACACCTGGAGTGCTGCATCCAGCTGTGGGGTCCCTGACACAGCAAGGACATCGATCTGTTGGAGCAAGTGCAGAGGAGGCCACAAGACTGATCAGAGGGCTGGAGCACCTATCCTATGGAGACAGGCTGAGACTCAGGGTTGTTCAGCCTGGAGAAGAGAAGGCTCTGAGGAGACTTAAAACAGCTTTCCAGCAGCTAAAGGGGCCCTGCAAGAGAGTTTGAGAGGGACTTTTTACAAGTGCATATAGTGATAGAACGAGGGGGAATGGCTTCAAACCGAGAGAGGGTAGTTTTAGACTGGATATTAGGAAAAAAATTTTTTCCTGCGAGGGTGATGACACAGTGACACAGGATTCCCAGAGAAGTTGTGGATGCTCCATCCCTGTTAGTGTTCAAAATGAGGCTGGCTGGGACTCTGAGCAACCTGGTCTAGTGGAAGGCGACCCTGCCCACGGCAGGGGGGTTAGAAAAAGATCTTTAAGGTTCCTTCCAACCCAAACCATTCTGTGATTCTCCTCCGCTTTCCCTCACGGCCAGCCCCTGTTTCGCCCCGGTGCCCGGCCCCCGCCTCTCCCTGCGCCGCCGGGCTCCAGCCCCCGCTTCACGGGCACTGCACAGAAGGAACCGGCGGGGGAGCCGCGCGTTTTGCGGCTTCCGCACGGATCCACAGGGCATCGGCGTTCGCACCCGCTCCGCCCCCGCCCCAGGGCCGGGCCCGCCCACAGCCGCTCGGGGCCGGCGCCGCTCAGGGCCCGGCCGCTCCGCGCCCTCCGCCGGTAGGTGCCTGCGGGCCCCCGTGCCCTCGGGACAGCGGGTCGGAGCTCGGGGTGGCCCTGGGGACCCCGTCCTCGCTCCGGGGAGGGGCTGGCAGCGCTCGGGAATCCAGAGTGCCTCGGGAACCCCCTCGGGGAGGGCGGCGAGGCGCCTCCCCAGTTATCCCTTAAAGCGCAGCCGGAGCCAGCCCGTGTGTACAACCAGCACCGCGCCCCTGCGGGGGGAACGGGCCAGGGGGGGAGCGAAATCGAGATATGTTTGGAAAGCAGGAGGTGTTTTGTTTTGTTTGTTTTTTTAAAGCGGCCTTGCTGGGTAGATCATTTCTATCAAGTGCCAGCACATGCGTGTTGCTGTGGTTGCTGTTTGTTTGTCCATTTCATTCCTGTGCTTCTGTTCCCTTCGGAGAATTGGACGCTTTCCTTTGGCATTTCCAGGCCTTGAGACTTTCCCGCTGGACTGTAGTTCTACTACAGTCTGAATCTACTGAATCTCTTTGGGCACGAGGGTAAAGGGGGGGGAAACATCAGATATATTTGAATTAACTTTTCTAAAAAAAAAAACCACAAACAAACAAACAAACAAAAAAACCCCACACCTCTAACTTGACAAGTGTTGTGACTGATAATGACGGCACGCAATTGTAAAAGCATTTCAAATGCAATGCTTAATACAGCTAAATAAAGCTGGATTCTTATTAAAAAAAAGAGCTGATGGTTGCTTAAGATCCATCAAATCTTAAAATTTGTAATCTGCCTTTAAAACTCCCCAGCTGGCAGTAAAGGGAGGGGGAAAGTGTTTTTTTTTTTTTGCTGTTCAGTGGCATACCATCAAATTCCCTAGGTCAAAGCTGTACTGCTATTTGTGTTTATCAGAACAGGAGCATATCTCTGACCTAATCTCTCTGTGCAGTTGTCATTGGGAGACTGTGACAGAAGCTGAGGGTATGAAGTTGAAACCTTTTCCTTCAGTTCAAAAAGGGAATTAGATTCCAGAACTAATTTTAACCCGATTATGTCCACATTTAGTTTATGATGAAGCACACCTATGGAGATGAGGAATTAGAAGCATGACTTGTGGGAAATACACATACCAAAAGCATACTGCAGTTCTTATTCACTTCCCTACTTCATGTCCAACTAATTACTCTTTCCATATAGCTATGAATTACTCTCGGTTCATCACTGCTGTGAGTGCCGCAAGAAAAGCATCTCCGATAAGACTCCTGAGTGAGTACATGTCCATTCTTCCCAGTTTCTCAGAAAAAGTACCATTCTATGTTCTGGTATTTGCTGGGGTATCATGGCTTAAAGACTTGAAGAGGCTCGAAAGAAAACTGTGCTATAAGCAGACAAGCAAGGCCAGATAATTGCTTTGACTTTGTCGAGACAACAGGTATAAAGAAAAACAAAGTGAATAGCCTTGAACCATTTCAGAATCCCATCCAGAGAGAACAACTGGTATTATCATTTCAACAAGTGTCTGAAAAATCTCTGCTACTGTCCGTGAACCAGGGCTTTGGGCACAATTTGCTACTGAGTTTACCCTAGTTGTCCAGAAACAAGCAACTCCTAATGACTAATTCAGTCCCAGCATAATATTTCTTTCCACCTAGCTTTCCTGTATCTTGTTTATGTCCATCAATTCCTCACCACCTCAGTATTACTACAATTTCCTTTTCCATATTACACTATCTTTAGGCTACCACATTAGAGTCTTCTGTGTGACAGATAGAAAAGGTTAACTGCCTACTTGTTTACTCAATTGAAACCTATGGAGACCTGCCAGAGCTGGAGCGTGAGACATATATCACCAGTTCAGCCTTCAGGGGTCAATTTCCTCTCTTGGTAAGGGGCTGGCATTTGCTATGCTGCTTAAAATGCTTCATACAGGTACAGCTAAGTCCAGTAATTCACTCTGGGTAGTCTCTTTTTCAAGTGATACATTGATACACACCATAGCACAAATATTAAGTAGCAGAGTTCCTGCAGAAAGACACAGTCAGATTGCAGTTTTGACGACAAAGTAAATCACACTTTACCAGGCCAGATGTCACAGGCATAACCCATATTGTTGTACTAACTGATAAGAATTAATTTCCCATGTTCAAGTTTGCTAATAAGTAGTGGAGAATAAATTTGATAACAGGAGGCTTTAAGCCAGATCTGGTGTCATCTGTCCTCTCATATCTGATATAAAACTGTCAAGCCAGCATGAATGCCATCTTGTGAGCTCTTAGATTTAATGTAGTCAAGTGCCCTTGCTGGATTGAAGTCCAGTCTGCACTGCATAGATTGGATCTGAATGATTGTGAAACTCTGACTTTAAAGCAAGATTTAAGATTTTCTTCATGGTGAATTACTTATACAGAGGCATTATTTAGTGGCCACAAAAACAAGGTTGCCAGAAATGTTTCCACTCCCTTATAGAAAAGCTATAATCATCTGTCAGCATAGCTGCACTACTGCCACATCAGCTGAAGTGAGACTGAACAAAAAACAAAGCCAGTCATTTCAAGTCAGTCTAAACAAAAGATCATTAAGATTTTAAACTCTTGAAGCTCAAAAGACATCAGTCACAGAAGTTTTAATAATAGAATAGTCCAGATTGTTTTAAAAGAAAGTACAGTCTTTTTAACTTCAGATGATTTTTTCTCTTAGCCTGTCCTACCAGTATCTCCCTCTCTGCCTCCCTGAACATCTTGTTAATCCAAGCAGAAAGATGAGTTTAAGAAGAATTATCCTTTTTAATTAATGTTAAAAAAGCAAAATATGGAACAAATTCCTCTAGACCATTATTATATAATAACTAAAAGATAGGATCAGTGTTGCAATAATCAAATTGTAACCACGGTGTTTTCCTTTTAATCTAGCTGAATTGATGCAGAAATCTCCTCCATCTCTCATCTCTTTGGCTGGAGGGGCACCAAATCCTAACCTTTTTCCATTTAAGAGGGCAACTGTTGACATTGGACATGGAACTCCTATTGAGATTGGGGAAGATCTGATGAAGAGAGCTCTTCAGTACTCAGCCTCAGCAGGGTATCTGTCACAGCTGCTTGCACTTCAAGATACCAGAATCAGGATCATAATATTGTTTGTAATTGCATTAATTCACCTGTGTTTTTAAAACCTGTTCATAAACCCCTTTTCTCCAAAAACAGCCTCTTTCAAAAAATAGGCATCTTTCAATTTGCCTCACTCTAAAACCCTAATCCTATTAATTCTCAAGCCAGAGCAGTTCCTCGCTGTTATTGTTTGAGAATCCAGACTCACAAATCAGATATGAATTAAAAGATACTACATTACAATACATAGTTTCCACATTCTGGAGTATTTGTTTTCATTTGACACCATATATTAAGGTCAGTATGTACAACTTGTGGTAGTGAAGTGGAGGTATTTGTAGTTGTGTCATTTTTGGTACAAAACTTTGGTTAAAAAAAATTGCATATTGCCATATTTGAGTACAGAATGATCATTTCTAGGAGTGGATGCTGTTCAGCCTCCACCCTGCTTCATCCTTGGCAAATAATTTCTGCCAAGACTTCAGTATGATATATTTGGTGTATGGACCACAGATGCCCATCTCATTTTCGTAATTTGATAAAGCAGTCATAAAAATCACATCTAAGCGGATCTGTGTGACAATCGAAGTCAGACTCTGGACTGTGTGCTGGATTTGGCAGCGATTTAGAGGAGCAGCCTAGCTTTGGCCTGTATAAGATGTACCTTCTTATTCATGTTTCAGGATTCCAGAGCTGTTGTCTTGGCTAAAAGATTTCCAGCGGAGCCTGCACGATCCTCCCACAGCCAATTACAGTCCTGAGCAAGGGCAAATGGAAGTGTGTGTCACAACCGGCAGCCAGGAAGGCTTGTGTAAAGTAAGACCAAAAGCTTCATATGTTAAAAGCATTTAATTCAGAGAGATGTTTATCCCCCCCATCAGTTCATTTGTATTCAGCTTTAAGTGCCACTCTATAACTATATGCAGGGTACTTTGTTAAATGAATGTCTGACAGTATTATCAATACAAGATAACAGAACTGAAACAAAATTGGTGTGGCATCCAAGTCTATTGGGACTGCATGAACGTTCCAGTAACCAAAACGCCTGTCAGAAAATACACTGTAAGGTAACATTCCATGTTATTCAAGTGGTGCAGTAATAAGTGCATAGATGCATTATTTGGTTTACCATAATTCTGTTGAAAATATGTTTCTTCTTTTTACTTCCTGGTTTTTTTTAACTTCCTGAAAGTCCACTCTCACTGCTGTTTATTTGATCCTGTCTGTAACTTAGAAAAGAGAAACAGTGCTTCAGAGCACCGTCTTTCCATGTCAAATTGGTATTCTCTAGTTGAGTAGCTAGCTTAATTTGGCTCTAAAGCAGATTTTTCATCTGTTCATTGCTTTTCTCCCAGACAGGATAATTAAATGGTTAGAGAATTACTAATATCTAATCAAGATTTTTAATCCCACTAAGTAGTCAGAAGTATAAGCACATGTACAAGAATGTAGCAATCTTTCTAAAATAGACTTTTCTTTTGCAGGTGTTCGAAATGCTCATTAATCCTGGAGACAACATCCTTTTGGATGCACCCACATACTCTGGGACTCTAGCAGCTGTAAGTAGTCATTAGCTACAAAACACTGTAAATTTTACGTTTGAACTAAACAGTAATTTAGTACCTGATCTGCAGTCTTATACACATTGTTTGCATTTACCATAAAAATGTATCTAAGAATCAAGATTTTAGAGTTCAACTCTAAATATTTATAAATATTAATTCATAGAAGGTTTTCTACAGAAAGTTCTATAAAAACTATTCCAAATTCCTCTTCCAAATCTGAGTTCATTCAAGGGCTAAGGTCACGTTTGGTTGGGTTGGATAGAAATGACATCAGGACATAGTTGGATTGAAGCAAATTTGTAACAAGTGGGTATTTTAACATGTCAGCACATTCACTTGAAGTATTTCATGGTCAGATTATACCATAGCTGTAAATAATGTAAGATTGGAATAGGCCTGAAACCTCCATGTATGAGTATGAAGCAGCAAATTAGTCAGAACTATACAAAAGCAACAAAGTTTCCTTCTGACAAGTAACTTAATCAGTATTAAATGTCAGCTCAAAACAATTAAAAGCTGTAAGAAGGCTTAGAATAAATAATACACCACAATTTCAGTCTAGCCTCCCTTGCATTAAAACAAATTCTGTTATTGTTTGCTGTGCTAAATTTAAATATGTATTGTCTAATCAGCTGTACTCTGTTAGAAATGTATTTTGACAGTGCAGCTTGCATTTTTACTTAAAAATGCAGAGGACTACATGGTACAAATTGAAATTCCACAGAGGAGAGACAGCAAGCTTTTTCATTGGTATTTTACCTATATTTTTTCATACTGCTGTCAATGTGTCATTGCAGTGGCATCATTTCATTCTCCTTTGTATTGCTGAATATATCTATTGAGAACATACTGTTTGCCCTTTGTCAGTGAAGGATAGCTCATCGTTCTGGTGCTTCCACTGAAGTAGAGCGTAAACTGTCAGTAGGAAGCAAAGGTACTATGAACTTAACTGTCTGCAGTAAGAGCATGAGGAATCCTGAGAGAACACAGTTCAAATTCACAAAATCCCCTTCTGCTTGCAAAACCACACATGATTTCCTGGAGAAAAAGCTGCAGTTGAACATAGCAGTTATGCATTTCCTCTCAGTTTGCTTAGTAGGGCAAATAAAGAGTAATGTGGAAAGTTTGAGAAGCTTTACAGCAAATTCAGGCAAACTTGATTTTGACTCATGAGCAAATGGAGTTTGAGGTAGCTCTAAAATCAGAAAGACAGTCTGTATTGATGATACTTTACAACACCAATGACAAAAGGAAGACCTTTGAATTACATCATTGTGACAGTTTTGTTCCTTCTATCAACAGCTGAGACCCTTGGGTTGTAATATAATTAACGTTCCTAGTGACCAACACGGCATTATTCCAAAAGCTTTAAAAGAAATTCTGTCTACTTGGAGCTCAGAAGATGTAAAAAATCACAGCCATCACCTTCCCAAATTCCTGTACACTATTCCAAATGGGTGCAACCCAACTGGCAACTCTCTGAGCACAGAGCGCAAGAAGGAGATTTACCAGGTATGTAGCTGGGGCCTTGTGAACCTTGTAGGTAGAAATGGATAAAAGTCAGTTCCATTTCAGTTGAGGATACTTGTGGTGTTTGGGCCCATTATTGGTCCAGTAGACATTCCTCCTAGAACTTGTTTCTAGCAGAATCCTTTTCATGACAACTCTCCAGAGATGGACTATGCATTAGATAAAATTGTTTCTCAGTGGTAGCCCACTGATGGCTGGTACCTTTTTGCTGTGGGCTTCTAACTGAACTTATTGCAAGCAGCCTGCACAGTTTGCTACGTGGAACAGAGCTCCAGTTACATACATGGGTCCTTGTACTACAGATACTGTGTTTACTCTTGTAATTGCTTCATATCTACAATGGGCACTTGAAAGCTTCTCATTATAGGACCTTGTATATAATGAATGACCAATCAATAGGAGCATAACATGGTCCTGGTAAAAAAAAAAAAAAAACCAACAAAAAACAAACACCAAACCACAAAAAAACCAAAACCACCAAAATCAGAATGAATTTACAGTGTCTTTACCTTATAACAGATCTCTACTTTTTATTCATTTCTGTAGCTTGCAAGACAATATGATTTCCTCATAATAGAAGATGATCCTTACTACTTTCTTCAGTTTGAAAAGGTAATTTGTCTTCCGTAATCCTTAACACCACCTTATTTTCTGGTCCAGGAGAGAACTAAGGTTTGAGCCATGGATCTTACTACATGCTCGTTCTTCATGTCCTACCAAGGTAGTTGTAGGCCTCACGGTCATTTTCCCTTTCAGTCATTGTCCCCTTTGTGACATTTTACATCCTGTTAACCAGCGGTTCAAATTCCTCAAGCCTCATACAGGATATAATTTCCTTCAGTAGTCAGAAAAAAAGCAAGTGTGTCACTGAAGCAGCATTTGAAAATTGCAGCCTCTTAGCGGTCCTTTCAGACTAGTCTCTTCTTTCATTCAGCAGAAGACTTCCAACTCCCCATCTACTGTAGCCCATTTCTACCCCTTTGCCTTTTGGAGAGCCCAAGAGAGTTCTCTCGGGTACCACAGAAAGTGGTACCAGATAGGTAGCTTCCCTTCTTCATGTAAATTTTTCCCAGATTTCACATGTGAATCTACAGTTGCACAGTCTGCAAAAGTACCTAACTTCTGAAGTAAAAACTGGTCTTATAAAGCAGTAGAACATTGATAGAAGCTAAAGTTCAGTGTTTTCTATTTTAAAATACATTTTTATGGGAGGAGGAAGTTTCACTGAATAGTGAATAGTATTCATCGAATACTATTGTGTAGCTTTGTTAGAAAGTGTAGGGGAAAAGGTGTAAAAGCAGAATTCTTGATGAGTAAAAAGTATGCTGAACTCAGGTCATCACAATTTGGTCATATCTTCTGATTTCATTTTTTAATAAAGCAAAGCAAAAAGCTACAGGGCTCCATTTTAGAAATCAAGTACCTGTTTACTCCACAAAGAAGTATTGGCAGAAAAATCATTATTTCTCTTTCCTTCTTATGGCATCATATCAAAACTTGAACTGAGCATTGTATGCTGAACAGTGGGCTAAGTAAGCATCAAAATATAACAAGGCTGATTTCTTGAAGACTTTCATAGAATATTGAAACCACATCTCAGACAGCTAGCCTAAACAATCACTTGTCAGGAAGTTACTGTAATATTTTCCTTGGAATACACATCTGTAAAAATATTAATTATCAAAATATTTCTTTTAGAAGTGAATTGTGTCTTCATAGTAGAGAAAATAATTCCATCTTAGTCCTTACTAGCACCTTGAATTTTATTTTTTATTTTTATTCCAAGCCATGGGCTCCAACTTTCCTCTCAATGGATGTGGATGGCCGAGTTATCAGGACCGACTCTTTCTCTAAAATTCTCTCATCTGGGTAAGGCCAGCTGCAGACTGCTTAGCATTGCCTATTCAGTTAAGGCACAAGTCTTTATACAAAATGATCAGACATGTCATAGTGGTTTTCCATCTAATAACTATCTACTTCTGGAATGAACTTCCGAATCCACAGCTTTTAACAGTCTGCTCACTTTTCATGTCATCTCTTGGCAGTCATTTAACTCCAGGTTCTGTTTCTCTTCTGATACTAATAGCTAAGCCTCTGGCCCCAGGCAACCCATCTAGGCAGAAAGACAGATGCTGGATTCCAGCTATGTTCCTGGAACTCCTAGGAGCTTTTCTCTCTTCTTTTTCCATTTCCCTTTCTATCTCTTACCATTCCTGTAGACTCACTGGACTTGTAATAGGAAAAAGAAATGATGGCATCATTCTTCACAAGCCATTCATAGGGTTATACTTATATCTAGCCTTACAGTTCTTTCAGGTTGTTTCCACCTGCCGGAAAAAACTAAGTTGGCTATTTTCCATTTCACATAAGTCAACATATTTGATTTTTAACTTTCTTTTGTTTATAACCTCATCCTTGAGAAAGTGAGGAGACGATATGATGCTAAGTGTGATTCCACTTTCAGAAATGACACTATAAAATGGCATGATGCAATTTTATCTTTGTCAAAGACACATATGAGCTTACTGGTTCTATTTTTCTTCAAATAAAAACTTCAGCCAATCTGTAAAGATGGGTAGTAAGTATTGAAGCATAAATAACAATTTAGTTTATCAATCTAAATTCCATTTCTTCTGCAGTACTGAAAGGGAGTAAAAGAGTAAAGCCATTTGCCACTTCTCATCTGTTGTCATAAAGCCTGAGCATTCATGATTTTTCGTTGTGTGAGAACCTCTTTCCTTCCCTTTGATTCATGTAATCTTTATGGTTGCAGAGGAAAGCTTACAAACACAGAATATGTCCAGAAGCCTCATATCTAAGGGGCTTTGATGCTTACAGTAGCTTCTTATTTGTTATTATTTCATAACTTTGATACTCAGCTTCTAAACTGCAGAAGCCTGGGGCTTAGGGCAGTATTAAGATACAGAGAAACTTTAAATGCATAAGAGATCCTTACACTACCAATGAAATGGTTACATGTTTTCCCACATACAACTCACACAAAGTGTCAGCACATTGCGTTCCCGCGGTAACTTTTTTCTCTTTTGTTTTCTAGGTTAAGAATAGGCTTTCTGACAGGTCCCAAGCCTCTTATCGACAGAGTTGTTCTACACATTCAGGTTTCAACAATGCACACCAGCACTTTCACACAGGCAAGTACCAAACTGCCAACTGCATTGTATTTAGAAAAGACAATACATTCCAAGTTTTAAGTATATATCCCATTAGCAAATACCTGTGCACTTTCACAATTGCTCTACACTTTTGCAGTTTTCTTTATGCACATTCATTGTCCATTCTGCTAAAGAAAGAGGGACCACCACAGAACATAGAACCAGAGGCAGAAGGTTGTCTCAGTGCGTGGACAGCACAGCTAATATCCCTTAACGCTCAGAATTTGCAAGACTCAAGATTTGAAATACTTTGTATCTCTTGCCAGTAGGTTAATTTAAAAAACCTAATGTAAAGCATACCTTGGAAGAAGCACTCTTTTTTTTTTTTTCATTCTACTTTGCAATTAGAACAATACTGGCAGCCCACAAAAACATTACAAAGGAGGCAGCCAACTACAGCCCCTTTATGGTTAGTGATAAGGAAAAGAGACATTGAACATGTCTAAATATGACTTCCATCTTCCAGCTCCATTAGTTCATCACAGAGGCTCTATTAAAGAGGAGAGGCTGATATGGACAGGAAGGTAAAGCAATATACATTGCCTTCCTCTTTCTCCCTGATTACCATATTTAGCTCTCCATCCATTTTTCCCTCCTCCCACCCCAGCCTCCAAACGCTGCCATGATCCTTGGAGACACCAGTAACATGAACTGTAATGACCTGTTGCTGTTGGCACCTCTGTCTATAAATAGGGCTCCAAGAGACACCGCATGCAATTTCTTGCCTGGGGAATTTTGAATAGTGCATCTGGCTATGCATGTTTTTGATGATTGTCAAAGAGTCCTGTTTAAAACGTGGTATTGATGATGTGTTTTGTTTCTTTAGATTATGGTATCACAGCTGCTTCAGCAGTGGGGACAAAAGGGTTTCTTGGAGCATATTGACAGGTAGGGTCATGTCATATGCTGAATCCCATCATCTATTATTCTGCTGCTTGTTACCTACATCAAACATTCTCTGCAGCAGATAAGTCAAAGGAGGTACATCAGTATTAGGCCAAATAGATAAGGCAGGTCACCAAGACTGTCAAGTTCACACCAGAGCCCTGAAGAAACTCAGTGTGAAGTTACAGACATGCAGGTCAGGGCATGTCTCCCACTACAGGCAAACAATCTGCCAGTCCACTGGCACAGGTGTTATGCAGCTCCCATCTGAAGAGAACCTGAAAGGATCCTGGAAGCTTCAAGTTAGTGAACAAAGTTTTCATTCCTGCTAAAGTGACAGGGTCTAAAGCAAAAGTTAAGATCACTGAGCACAAAATTTATTAAGAAAGAATCAGCTTTTATAAAGGGAGCTCTTGCCTCACTATGGCAGCAGGGATTCAGCCTCTAACATCCTTGATCTCCTGATTGTGAATACTGATTGAAAAACCTCCAGAGAGCAGTGAAGTTCATCTACACACACCAAACACTGCCTTCTTCACTGCTCTTGGAGACAGAGCACTAGGCTACAGTTTAACTCAGCAAAGCATTTCTTAAATACTGACTAATACACATTTTTTTCCATTTATTATGCAGGAGAAGCATAGTTTCTTTTGAATACCAGTATCTCATTTTAGATGCTATACTTGGATATCATTAGAGCCCCAACCTTCCTACTTCAGTGGGAGTGTATTACACTCTGTAAAGGCCTATAACAGGAATGTGAGCAAAGCATGCAGAAAGTTCATATATCTCACTGTAACATCCACTTCTGCCCTCTGAGCACCTGCCTGATGTTCATACTGTAAACACTGGTATTTAAAAAAAAACAAAACAGATGCACCAGCCCTAGCATTGCATTGTTTTAAGAATTAGGAACATAAAGATAAGTTTCACAGAGAAACTTAAACCACACTTTAGTTCAACGTTCAGCAGTTCAAAAAAAAAAAAATCCCAAATACATCTCTGCACTCACCTTCTTCTTGTGGGCCAAAAGGCAGCCTTTCTCAGGCCAGGAGGTTGTTCTTCCTCTTGAACTAACAAAAACATGGTTGCAGTAAGGTAGCTGCAATGCTTTAAAGCCTTTTAAATGCAGTAACTCAGGTGATACTCCTGAGGCCTGACAGCTGACTGGAGTCTCCAGGTGATTTCATTAGTACAAAGTTGAGTTGTTAGATCATGCTTTTGAGTAGGAGTTGACCTGTTGTTTGGAGCAGCTACATTTTTGGGGCAGCATTGTCTTACTAATGCTTATCATTTCATTCCAATATGGAAGTAAAATTGTAACAGAAAGGAAAAAACTTGTAATGGAATTTGCAATTTTGGTAAAAACTGCACAAGTGAGATTTACCATTTCATACAGAAGGGAGCAATAGGTATAGTTGAGTTCCAAAGCTGTTGGAGTTTGCCTATCAGGTGTAATAAAGTACATCCAGAAATCAATGCTATTGGTTCAGAGAAAAATTTGTATTTTACCTAAAAAAATATGTTAAATTATGCAAATAAAATTTGTATTTTATTTAAAAAATACAAATGTGAAATTATGCAAATTACTAAGAATGTTTTCAGAGATGGGAACACATTTGCATCTGATTTATGAACTCTGTATCAGGTGTTTCTCTTGTGTCTTCCATTGCACAGCCGCATTATTTTATGTCAACAAAAGCCACTGCACATGACTTATCCATGTTGAAATTTGGGTTAGGGTCATTTTCTCCAGTAAAAGATTGAATTACTTGAAAGTTTTACCTGAAGTGTAAAGGAGATAGGTTCAAAAGTCTAGAAAAGGGGAAGCTGTCAAATAGGTCCAAAAGTTTAGAAACGGGAAAGTTGTCAAATAGTTATGGCAGGTTTATCATATGATTTGCTTTTGACCTTGTCAAATACCATTTCCATGTGTACCCATTACACAAATTCAACACAAATGCACAAACACTGGGACTGTGCTTAAGTCCTTACGTTTAAGTCCTTAATTTTCTTCAGTATCTGTGTTTTGTGCAGTAAATATTGCTACCAGGACTTGTATCTACTAATATAATAGACAGGATAGGTATAATATATAACACCTTTCCATGATCTATATGTAAAGCTTAAGAAACAGCCACACAGGGGCTGCTCCTGTCTGATCAGTTCTTTGTTGGAGAGGTGCCGCAGCACTGAAGACTTATCTGATACATATACGAAGTTTTATACACAGAGTATATTGTGTTGTGCCCATCTAGGATGTGCTTATATTTCTACTAAATGTGCACTTAGGTTGTTCAAGTAGAAAAGTTTTATTTCTGCCTTTGGATACAAATGGACTCTGAAACACTATGAGTTCATGACTTTCAATTGATAATTTGCTTTCAGAGTGGTGGATTTCTACAGGACCCAGCGGGATGCAATGCTCCTTGCTGCTGACAAGTGGTTGAAAGGTCAGAGTGCAACAGAAATAATTACTTAAATTTTTTCCAACTATTTATCATCTTTGTGCTCAAGAAAAATCACTTAAGTTCATCTCTTGACTGAAGTGACAGATAAGCACTATAAGCAAATCAATGACATTAAATATTAAGCTTAGGACAAATTATTTATTGCTGTTGTTTTTATGCTTTTCTGGTGCGACAAGGAGATGGGAAAAAAGCTCACTACATTACGGTATAAAGCAGTTTTAAAAAGAGCATGTATTTCACTTCATTACGTTCTTATACTTTTTCTATATAAAAATGTCTGTCTTTAAAAAAATCGCTGACATAGTGACCTTAATTTAAAAGAAGATACAAACAATCGCTGTAGCAGTAGTGATATTTTTTTTAAATGTCAGTCAGTTTCAGATGTCCCCTTTTGTGGTTAGCCATAGAGCACAGAAAGAATTCCATCAACAGCAGTGCAATCCCGGTTAGTCACTCATTGACTTCAGTCAGTCTAAGTGGAATCAGCGATAACTGCTGAAAAACTACCCACCTACCTTAGATGGCACTTCCATGGGACATGGGTATTTGGGCACCACACAGTCATTAATGTATTAAGTCCTGCTAATTCCAGGTGATTTATATATTTTTCTACATTGCTCTGAACAACCATGGGGTTTTTGGCCTACATAGGCCCCCTTTGCCTCAATTCCCCAAGTTCCAAAACTTAGATTATAGCACTGGGATGCTGTAAAGTATATCGTGAGAATATACTCTTGTAAAAGACTGCAGGGTCTTCATGTTTTCTAGTAACAGAAGCTGTAATATTATGGAAGACAGACCTTTATTTCCTAGATATGTAATGGTAAAATACATTGAGGATGAACTGGAGAAGATGTTAAATTAAATAAATAGTTTTTTAAAAAATATGTCTGAAACCACATAAAGCATTCTAAGTAAACAAAAGATATACAGTAAGTCTGCAGATAAATCCTCTTTAAGTATTCCATCTCCTCGTAACTCCTAGGCTCTCCTTTTCTTTGGGACAAAATCAATATTAATTGTAACTTAAAACACTTTTGTACCATAATAAGAGAAACTGCAAGAGAAAACTTATTTTAGATTGTTTAATTGATCCAAAAGCAATCAACAAATATAGTTTGCTAATGTTTGGGATTTCTGTAATTCAGAGGAATCATTTTCACAAAAAGTATTGAGGTTACCAGCTCAAGTGCAATAAGCCCTTACAGATGGGACTACTTTAAATTTGGCAAGTGGCAGCCTGGCTCGGTGGTCTGCATTCCCTTTGAGTTCATTGGAACAAAAAATCCACAATATCACTGAAACTATGTATCTGATAAAGTTGGGGCATAAGTTTCTTCCTTGATTCCATTTTCTCTCTCTCTCCCTCTCTCTCCAGGCTTGGCTGAATGGTACCCTCCTGCTGCTGGCATGTTCTTATGGATCAAAATTAAGGGTATTTCTGATACACAGCAGCTGATAATGGAAAAAGCTTTGCAGAAAGAAGTATGACCTATGATTTAATGGCTTATGATCTTATAATGAAAAGTGGGAAAGATAAAATATCTGTATCTATCCACACATATATGCACACATAAAAAAAGCAGGGGAACTTGTCATGCATCATTATGGAGTCTGCAAGTCAGGCATTGTGGCATAGTTATCATTAGCAAAATACTTTCATGTGTGTATTCAGATGTTGATATTTAATTCATTTACTTAAATATAAACTGTTATACAATGCAATATATCCTGTATACAACAGATATATATAGATAGACATGTATATATCTAATATTAATCACAGAATCCTAGAATATTCTGAGCTGGAAGGGATCCACAAGGATCATTGAGTCCAACTCTTGGCCCTGCACACAACCTCCCCAGGAGTCACACCATGGGCCTGAGAGTATTGTTCAAACGCTTCTTGAGCTCTGTCAGGCTGGATGCTGTGAGCACCTCCTTGGGGAGCCTGTTCCAATGCCCAGCCACCCTCTGGGTGAAGATCCTTTCTGCAATATTCAACTTAAACCTGCCCTGACACAATTCAGGCCATTCCCTCGGGTGCTGTCACTGGTCACCACAGAGAAGAGACCAGTGTCTGCCCCTCCTCTTCCCCTCACAAGTTGTAATTGTGACGAACAGTCTCCTCTTCTCCAGGCTGAACACACCAAGTGACTTCAGCTGCTCCTCATACAGCTTCCCCTCAAGGCCCTTCACTGTCTTTGTTGCCCATATATCTGTAGCTACATGTATGATGGCTGTTTACTAAATCATTTTAATAAGAGAAGTTAATTATGGTTTTATTTCTACAATTTATGAGACCCAGTACTGTATGTGTTGAGTAAACTACACCCTACCTCACTGGTGCTTCTCAACATCGTGATAATATGTCAGACCCAGTAACCCACCAGCCTAGGTAACCAAAACCCAAGACCCTTTGATTTTGTTGTGAAAATTCTATTACAGGTTGCATATTTTTGTCCCCTTATTTTGAACAGAAGAAATATCCTATGCCAAGATCTCATATGAGTGTTTAAGCACTGAGCCTTCTCAAATTTAATTTAATGTAGTGTTTTAAAAACGCAGAAGTGGTAATAACTGGGTGGCTAATCTATTTTTCTTAGGTATTACTGGTTCCTGGAGGAGCATTTAATATCAATAGTTCAGAGCCGAGTTCTTATGTCAGAGCCTCCTTTTCTCTGTCTTCTCCTACTCAGATGGATCTGGTAAGTGAGATTTTTTTTTTTTTTTTACATTCTTAGCAAAACAGTTTCTCACACAATAATGCTCCCTTATTTTTACATACTTCATGTATGTTTTGTTGAATGTTACCGTAGGTTCTTGGTCCTTAGGTGACTAAGCAGTACTTCTGAAGTAGTATGAGCTGTTTCTTAAGCAAGGTGCTCATCCAGATGACCTGAAAGGTACCAAATTTTTAGGACCACTTAAAATTTCTCTGTGTATCTCATATATGCAGAGTCTCACACTTAAATGTCCCAGACATTATTTATAAATGCTTTACTGAAGTCAGAGTGCATAGTAAGTTCTGCTATTTGCTTAAGCATTAGCAGGCATCATGTATCTTTTATTTTCCAGACTGTCCATTCCCGAGATTCTGAGCCTGAATTACCAGTTTTCTTTTATATGTGTGTTGTCAATCCTTTGTAAGAAAGAATATTGGTTTTCTTTCACACAATTTACATATCTGTTTTATTTTATTTCCTATTAATTAATCTTGTATGTGTTTTAGGAGAATATTTGATGTTATTGGCTCTAACTGCAAAATCAGTGGGAAGAAAGATAGGAGACATTTATTTGTGCAGATTTAATACTCATTTGATTCAGGTGCTTGAAACAGTTCAATATTTGTAGTTATAATTTCATTCAGTTGTGAAGTTTTGTAACAGATAAGCACTTCTATTGCCTTTTTATTATTTGTGTATGGTTAGGGCAGTTTTAATAGCTTTACAGGTTTGATGTGTTGTCTGTTTATGTAATGCTAAATATAAATGTGAAACACATTTGTGTCATTGCAGGCCTTCAAGAGACTGGCTGACCTTATAAAAGAATCTTTGTGAAAATGCTAAATAGGGCTCTTGCAGCAATCAGAATCACCTGCAGAAAATATTTATTAACATTTGGATTTCATCAGAACACTTTATAAGCAAGCACAATACAGTAGGTGTTTCCTTAGATATTCTCAGCTAAAAAAAAAGACAAAAAATGGAAGCGAAAAACAATTTGCCTAATTTATTCTGACGTGGCATTTCATTACTAAATGTATTACAATTCAAAAAAATTTAAAATACTCAAAACCAAATTGTTCTATTTCCTGTCAAATCTATGGTTTTGTTAGATTTGAATAAACTTATGTTCTGACTTTTGTTTTCCATATAGTTTGGGAAACAGAGAAATCAGTTACTTAGGAAGTTGAACTTCAAGTGGTCTTAGCCACTGTTACTTAATCTCAACTGATACATTCCTCCAACATCTTCCATTGGAATTGATTTGTGTGTCACTTTCCTTCTTGTCCTACTGTATGGCATCTGGTTTTGAGGACTTGAGGATCAGTATTTAATTTTACTAAAGTTTTGACAGATAAAACTGATATAAGAATGTTAAAAAAAAAGAAAACTGATCCAATAAAATTAGGATATGATTACATATAAAATTGTATGGCCTGAGGTCCCTTGCAATTTGCATGGGCTTTGCAGCTCATTTTCTAATTTGTAAAAGGTTTTCTGATTGCTGGCTTTTACCTCAGTCTGTGAATAATAACTCTGTACCTGTGTTGGAAAATCCCTTGTTTGCAAAGGCATGTAGATAGAACAGCTCTTGGTTAATCGGTCAGATGTGCTTCTAAACAGAGAGCGTATGTAACTGAACAGGGGACATAGAAATTCCAGCATACAATAAACATGACCCAAAATCCTGGGACAGGCCAATGGTATTTTATCTCTGTTAATGCTTGATTTTTTGGATGAAACTGCAAGAAAGTACTGTAAGTTCATTATTAACCAAACGCAAAGAAAGTTCAAAGGTCTGTGTAAATCAAGGAACAGAAATACCTTCATGTTAATTTTTTCCAGAACATTTCACAGTATATTCACTTGTTATATCAATTCAAATCTGATTTAAATATAACTTTGAAGGTATTCTCCGAAGTCTGTACAGCTATAGGGAATCTTCTAGCTGCAGTCAGATTTGTTAATGTATTTCCAGGATATTCATTCACAAAACGAGTCAGCAAGACCCTTATTCTTCTCCCATGGTAACGTCTGAGCTTTGCGGGGTTACACAACAGCTTCTATAATCACTATGAGAAAAGTGAGGTACAGCATGGTATTCCTGGGAGCAATGTTAGAACAATGAAAATGTATCTTTCTTTGCATTTTTCATTCAGAATTATTACAGTTTGAACACTTCAATTGTTCTGTTCCTGTGTAAGACACAGTCTAGAATGGGCTGCTCAAAAACTGTTATTGAATAATAAAGAAAACAAGATGGATTAGGGCATGCACCAGTACAGCTCAATGGGGTTCTTTTACGTATTTGCCCCAGTGGATCCCAATCCAGACTGCAGCAGCAGGACCGAAAGCACTGTGGATCTGTAGGTTACAAGATTTTAAAATACGAGGTTCCATAAAGCAACAATTTTTAAAGGCTGAAGCTTAAAATGGAACTTGCATTCATAACTTAGGGGACAATGCCCCAAAACTAAACCAGCTGTTTTCAACAATAACTCCACAAATTCTTAGACACCACCACTGATGCTCAGGGACTGACATTGAGTTAGATGAAATAATTCTCTGCATGCTTACAGTTCAACACAAAAACTGCCTGTTTGTATACACACGTAATTTCTCTCTTCCAGTGAATTCCCCATAAAATTCTTTTTTCCCCTCAATTATTCATTAATCACAGCTGTGCTGAAGGGCTCTTGTTTGAAAGTAAAGGGGGATATTTTCCTTCAGATCATTAACCTGTGTGAACCTGGAATTTGTGAATGTGTTTTATGCATAATAAATGGAATTACGTTGAAGTTGTTGCCATTAATAATTCCACAAACCTATGGAAAAACTGTTCCCCCTTGATGCATCTGTGAAGTTCACAAAGCAGAAGTGTTGTGTGAGTCTCGATGTGTGGAACAACACGTGCTCCTGATGTGCGTAGCATGGGTTGAGATTTACGTCCCTTGTACAGCAGAATTGTTTGGGTCATGTACAGTGCCTATTCACCCAGAATTTCTCCGTGTGTTTTGTCTGCCAAAGAGTGAAAATTGCGTGGAAAACCAAAGTGTGGGTACAAGAGAAGGGGTGGCTAAATGACCGCTCAGAAATAAGTCTGGAGACCCCGGCTGCGGGAAGCTGCCCACGTCAGGCAGCTCTACAGCACTGCTGCAGCCTCTGCCACAACTGCCCTCTACTCGGACACCAGAGGATGTGCTTACTGCACCAAGCCCCTTCATTGCTCTATATCCTCTCTTCCCCAAAGCTAGATGGTGTCACTTGCATGAGATGGCTTAAACCCACCTATGAATGAGAGAGGTTTCTTGCTCTTGGATGGATGAAACTGAAAAGGAAAACCAAAACTTTCATTTGCCACATAATTTCTTTCTATGTGAGCCTGTTGCCCACTCCTCCTTTTGTCTCTGAATGGCTTCCTCCAGCAACGTTTAATCACAGCAAATTCTCTCTCCCAAGAGACCAGAAACTACATTAAGAGGTTCAGGGAAACAGCATGTGCATCTAGGATTTCACTGCCATTGTTCAATTTGCATTGTTCAGGATATTAATTTAATTGTAGATGCTTCATCACAATCAGGGGAAAAACCAAACTCTCTCTAAATTAAATTAGCTTATAGCAAAACCACCTAATGTGCTGCAAATGGAATGGCATTTTGCTTACATTTAACTAAATTAACATTTAGATCTCTGAAAATTAAGAGGTATATTATCAACACATCACCAGCATAAATCTTAATAATATTTTGATTACGTTTTTCTAATTCGGGTTTGGCTGAATGACAATATGACAAAAGTATTTGGCAATGAAAATAGCATTAACATGAGAACTAAAATCAGTCTTAAATGATGTTTATATTTTTCCTCTATAAAGATATATTATTTTAACCAAACAGACACATCAATTCATTGTTGCACAAAATGATTTTCTAAATTGAGCCCAAGATAAAAATTGCCTTACTGATAGCAACATCAGAGCTTTCAAAATTTCTACACGTGATTAAGAAACTGCGTTGAGATGTGAAAATCTCCTGTTAAACAGCACTGCACAGGAGGTATTGCATATTAGCACCATCAAACAGTGTAAAATGGGAAAATTTTGTCTGCAAAGACAGTGTTGGCACCCTGAGAGCAGATTTGGGACTGCAGGCTCTCCCCACACTTTGTCATTCCATGGGTCCTGGCTGTCCAAACTGAGCCTGACTCCACGGAGGGGCCAACCTCATCCACTGAAACACCTTGTCTGCCTGTGGATTTGCCTAAAGCCCCTCTCCCGTGGATTTGCCTAAAAGCTGCAGTAATCTGGGAAGTGAGCAAAGAGCTGATCTTAGATATGCTGTTCGAGAAGCTGCAAAGTGCAGAGATGGCTTGCGTGTGCAACTAAATTAAAAGGCAGATCCAGCTTGAGAGACCAGACATAAAATCCTCCCGGGTTCCTGATGTGCTAGTAAATAGGAAATTCAGTCTTTTCTGTGCACATTCCCAACAGCCTGTCACCAGTAAGGACATGGCAGAGCATCTGTGTGGCTTAACAGAGATCAGTGTCTGCCCTTCTTCTTCCCCTCACAAGGAAATTGTTGACTGCAATGAAGTCTCCCCTCAGTGTCCTCTTCTCCAGGCCGAACAGACCAAGTGAAAAAACATGCTGTTTCTTTCTGCTTTCTAAATGGCATAATAAAATTTTTCCTATTTGTATCTTTTTATTTCTTTTTAGTTAGTTATTCTTACTTACGAAGGTCATATAAATTAGTCATATTAAACATATTAAACTAGTCGTGCTTATCAGAAAACTAACTAATTTGTGTTATTCTGTTTAAAATTTCCTTCTGGATACCTTTACTTTTGCTCTCAAGACAAATTAGTTACTCAGCAATGGTACTTTTATCAAACATATTACAATAACAATCTTTTATGGCAACATTTATTTTCCTCCCTAGCAATTCTGTGATAACCCATAGATGTTAGTTCCCACACAACAGATGTGCAGAGAGGGCTTTTAGAACGCAACATGCACAGATGACTCAGGGATTGAACTCTCTGGATAACAGTCATGTTTGCAAGTGCTGTTTACTAGGAACAAGAATCCCAGGAACTCATGAGTTTCAAAGCCAGCGGAAATAATCATCAGCTTTATAAGGAAGACCATACATTTTCATTACCTTTGAGTAAAATATCCTATCTTGGTTTTCAGAATAATCTACTGATTAAAGAGCCCTTCATTACGTGGCATTCTCTCCAGTCATGTCACTTGTGTTAATTCAGCTATTTCCCTAAAGGGAAAAGTAAGGGATAAAAAGGATATATTTCAAAAGTCTGGAGCTGCACTCCTAATTAATGGGTTTTCAAAAGACTTGTAAGTCTCCTCAAAACCTATCCTAATCAAGGAAGAGACATTTCCCTTTTAGACAAGGTTTTGTAAAGTATGTAAAACAGTGCGTGGGAAACACATCAGTGGAAATATCTTCTGTAGTGGCAAATAACCTTTTGCTATCTGGTGTCAAAAATAAGGAACTCACATTTTAGCCTTTTACGATTATCATATTATCATTAACAACATAGACATCTGATGTCAGGAGCATTTTATTTTAAAAGGCCATTGGATCCATCTGCTTTGCATCCCGACAGTTTGGGCCTTGGGCTATTTTGTAAAAGTGGCATTCAGAAAACTATTTGGAATTCCTTAGCTGTAGTACCAAAGCCATGAACGTGGGATGGAGTAAAAAGTTTGTTCAATCCCCTAACTCGTTCTAAAAGTAAAACTGATTTTCAGAGTGAGTTAAGTATTTAGGAAGGTGAAGTTCTACTGATTATTTTTGTATATTAGACTCCTGAGTGACCAAGTTAGTTTTTAAAATGGAACTAAAATTCCTAAGACCATTACATGGTTTTGATAAATCCCATATAAAAAGTTTTGTGATTTAGAACTATAAGAACAAGAGAGAAATGTTTGCCATGTTCTTGTGAGCTTCCTAAACAAAATGTTGCAATGCCATGACCACATGTATACCCTCATGTTGCCTCTGAGGTCTAATAACAGTGGAAAAGATATTTACAAACAGTTTAATAGCTAGCTCTGACATTCTTCCACTGTTTAAAATAAAGTATTGGTGATAGGAAAAATGAAGTGAGAAGGATAACACTGGAGCAAAGTCCTGCAGTAGAGAAGGAGTAGGACAAAGCATACAAGTCTAGTTACAACAGACAAGAAGAAATCTTCCCCAAAGTCACACAAATTGTTGAGACTTGCTCTGTTAGAGACGGCTCTAATACTCATTCACAGTTTCTAACCACATTTTCTGATTGTGAAATGGGCTTCTTTATCAAGGGACAAAAATATTTTACTTCTCTAAAATTTGTATAAAATTGTACATTAAGAATGATAAACATCAGGCCAAAACAATCATATATTACTATGTAACTACTGACACTTCGAAGAATCTCATAGAAAATGCTGCTTATTGTGTTTGTTCCCCAGGCTATAACAGAACTCTTCTAATAGATTCACTAACATCTTTGCCTCCAAACTTGGCATTTAATAGCTGTCACACCTTGCTACCAGTAACAGCTTCACAGACCACAGAAGATACAATGCACTGTGATGAATGAGCTGCACAAATGTTTTGCCCCTGCTGAAAACTGAAACCTGCAACAAAACCTGTTCTCTTGCTCTTACACAGCACTCTTAATTTGGAAAATCAGGGCTCTTTCATATATGCACCCCACATCACAGTATGCAAAAGCATACAAGGATATGAAGTAGTTTCCCTAAAGGATGTACTAAATGGACCAGGCACTGCAGCTTGAAAAGAGGTTGAAGGTATGCAAGATAGATTTATAAAACCAGCAACAGCACAAGCAAAACGCACAGGGAGTAGTTGTGCACTGTTCTCATAGCAGAAAAAGTAGTAGGGATTTAACCAGTGGATGCTGATGGAACAGGAAAACTGTTACATGCACCATAATATTACACAGGACTTTGTGTGGGCCAAATATACAATTGGATCTGAAAAAAAGGATTAAACACAATGATTGGAAACAGGTCCATAAAAGACTATTATAAACACAATGATCTGTGTGCTCCATACCAGGAGTTCCTAATCCAGTGATTGCCTGAATGGGAAAGGACCTCAAAGGATCATTAAATATTTCACCATTTTTTATGCTTTTGCCTTGGCCACTGGCAGACACTATATGGGACAAAAAAAAATTGTTCTAAACTAAAATGGCAATACAGGTGTTTATGTCACCTTGTCTCTCTGTTTTCAGCAAGGTCTGTTCAGTCAAGACGTATAATTGCATAGGAAGTTAGTGACAGTGAGATTTAAAATCTAGGGCCAAGATGTAGAGCAATCCTCAATTCATGCAGAGGCACTGAGTCAGTTTGCTGCTAAGTTCAAGCTTTTCTTTAGGTCACAAGCCTTTCTTTAGGCTTCATTGCTCTGAGTCACTCTAGCTACACTAAAGGCAATTGCCCCATCTCCTTCCACCAAGGGCACAGAGGCCTGAGAACACAGTCTCCTGACACAGCCTCCCTTGCTGCACAATTAGGAATGCAGAAAGAAAGATGCATTTGAGGTGATCCTGTGTTAAATAAGGCAGCTGGATACTACATGCCTTTTAACTTGCCACAGTGGTTCTCACGTTCTTAAGCAGACTGATTTTGAAGTGGCATTTGCTCTCCAAGTCTTGCCATGGCAGAGCATCAGCACTGTCACTGAATCACAGTGCGTGTCATTTGTAGATCCCCTCATAAGCACCTCCTAAAAAACCTCCCCTCCCCTCCCTCCCCTCCCCTACT